AGGTGGCCGATCTAATATCCCTAGGGAGGGAGTTCCATAGCTTTGGGGGGGGGGCACCACTGAGAAGGCCCTGTCTTTCATCTCTGCCAATTGCACTTGCGAGGCAGGCAGGATTGAGAGCAGGGCCTCCCCAAACGATCTTAAGCTCCTAGATGGTTCATAAGAGGAGACACGTTTGGACAGGTAAGCAGGGCCGGAATAGTTTAGGGATTTATAGGCTAAAGCTAGCATTTTGAATTGTGCTCAGTAGCAAACTGGTAGCCAGTGGAGCTAATGCAACAGAGGAGTTGTGTGTTCCCTGAGCACCGCTCCTGTTAGTAACCTGGCTGCCGCCCATTGGGCCATTTGAAGCTTGCCAACAGTCTTCAAAGGCAACCCCATGTAGAGTATGTTGCAGTAATCTATTTGGGATATAACAAGAGCGTGGACCACTGTGGCCAAGTCAGATTTCCCAAGGTATGGGCACAGCTGGAGCACAACTTTTAACTGTGCAAATGCTCCTCTCTTCACTGTTGACTCCCAGGTATTTGGGTGTGCTGCAATGCTCCAGTGGGATTCCTTCCCAGGTAATCCTCAGAGCTTGGGATGCTTCTCTGTTCTTAAGATGAAAAGCACACGTCTGTGTTTTAGATGGGTTGGGGATCAGCTGGTTTTCCCTGTAATAGGCAGTAAGGGCACCTAGAGCTTCGGAGATGTTCTGTTCAACCATTTCAAAGCTCTCTGTTTGAGCGGTAATGGCACGATCATCAGCGTAGATGAAACTCTCTGCCCCTTCTGACAGAGGTGCAATTATTATACGATGACAACCACGATGTGATGAAATACGGTTGTTTCGGTAGCTGTATGCTTAGTATGTTTATGTTAGTGTACGTATGTGTTAGGTTTCAAATTTAGTTGTTGCAGTGGCTGGACTGATAGCCACTTAGTTTTAGCAGAAAACATGAAAATCTGCTTTTTGTATTGTCTTTTTTATACCTTTCTTTTACTTGTGAATAAAAAAATAGTTTTAAAAAAGAGCTTTTCTAAAAGGGAGCACAAGGTCGTCAAAGTGAAAGCCTAGATGGTCCCTATACTTTGAAGAGGGGGTTTCAGCAGGTGCCTCCAGGTAAGAAGCAATACCGTCTGACATTCCCATTTCTATACAACCCTTAAAGGTACTAAGAGCCCTTCCCAGTTCTTACACTGGCAACCCCAGAATGTCAAACATTCTGTTATGTTAGGTATGCTTGTATTGAACCCAAAGCTAACAGAAATGGAAAGCAAAGTGGGAAACTGGCCAGAGTGGACCTCAATGGCAAAAATCAGAGTTTGGCAAAAGTTAGTTATTTGGAGTGCAATTGCCAGAATCCTGTTGGCTGTGTCAGCTGAGTCCAAAAACTAACATAACCAAGCTGTGATAAAAAGAAAGAAGGGACAACCTAGGCACTGCTCTCAATCCTCTAGAAAGCGGTGCTTTTTTCAGAGGCCTCCATCCCTTTCCCTCCTGCTCTGCCTCCCTCCCCGATGCCCCAAATGCTGCAGCCTCCTTGCGAAAAGGAAATGAGTCAGGTAGGATAAACTGGATGGATGGAAGTCGGTGCGCACACCTGGGGTCTGCTGATTAGGGCCTAATCAGATTTGCAATGCTTCTGCACCGCTCCCAAAGAAAGCCCCCCAATTTCACAGCTGTCAGGCGGCGCTGATGGAACACCTTGGGACTCCGCCACCGACCCAAGAGGACTATGAAATAAAAGTAACGGGTGCGTTTAATTTCCCACATTTACCCCACCCCAAAACACGACTCCGATAAGAAAATTAAGGAATAGTAAAGACTATGAGGCCCAAGAATATTTGGCCAGGGCAGGAGAAGTCAAAGCATAAGCTGAGCAGGACTATAAATAAAAAGAGGAGGGGGATTAGCCAGGGTTTTAGATGGAGGCAAAAATTAAAAAATCAAGTCAGCAAAAGAGCTGAGCTCAGGGTAAGGGGGGTTGCGTGGCTCTGGAAGCTGCAAACACCTTGGCCAGAAATTAAGAGCGGAAAGCAACACCTGAACAAAGAGCGGAGCCTCCCCGACCGGTAACAAGCCATGAGAGAGGCAATTGAGAGTGGGAAATGAGCGGCAGCCTCCGTGAGGGGAGAGAAATGCTTACGGCACCTCATCTCGGCAGGTGAAGAAGAGGGTGGAGATTTAGCTTAAACCGTGGATTAGCTGGCTGGGCGGCTCAGACGGAAAATTAAAAAGTCTGCAGATAATCGCGGAGGAGCAGGAGATACGGGGCATGTGCGCCTCTGTGTGAGTGTGTGTGTGTGTGTGTGCGTTGAAGGGATAGAGAGGGGTGAAGCTCATGAAGCATCCTATTCCAGGTTAAACTGTCTCTCAAGTGCGTTAAGAGACAAGAAACCCAGAGGAAGAAACATGACCGGGCTTTGGGTAAAAGAAAACAAAAATACCATTGCAACCCTCAAGTGTCTGTCTGTCTCATGTATTGCCTTTTGTACTGATGTGCACTGGACACCTGGGAAAATAACTAATTTCACTTTTATTTTGTGCTGACGTCCATTTCAACGCAGTACTGTTTTATGACTCCAGAACAGAAGTGGACCATTTTTGCAAGCCCTCAACATCCTGAACTTGTGTCCTTCAAATCCTCTGTATTTGCAGTCTTGTGGGCGGTTCAGAAAATATCTTTCAAAATACTAAGTAAGACAGGGGTACTCAAACTAAGGCCAGGGGCCAGATACGGCCCTTCAAGGTCATTTACCCTTCCCTGGCTCAGGGTCAACCTAAGTCTAAATTACTTGAAAACCCACAACAACAACAATCCTATATCATCAGCCAAAAGCAGGCTCACACTTTCCATTGAAATATTAATCTATATAAATAAAAATGTAATGTTTGTTTGTGGGATTAACAGAACTCAAAAACTACTGGACGAATAGACACCAAATTTGAACACAATACACCTATCAGGCCAATGAGTGACCATCACTCATAAAAACACCAGAAAACACAGCAGAATATTTGTTAAAGATTTTCTTCTTTTTAATTATTGTATTGTTTTTATGTGTGTTTTGCACTACAAATAAGATATGTGCAGTGTGCATAGGAATTCATTCATGTTTTTTTCAAATTATAATACGCCCCTCCAACAGTTTGATGGACTGTGACCTGGCCCTCTGTTTAAAAAGTTTGAGGACCCCTAACGTAAAATCTCCAAACCAGAAACGCATGATGTTTGTCCCAGTAAGGGCCTTGGTGCTCTGGAATTTTATCTGCTTGCAAACTTTCTAGTTTACAGATACAGATTGAGCATACTTCATTCGAAGTGCTTGGAATCCAAAATGCTTGGGTATTGGATTATTTTGGAATACTGATATACACATAATGAGATATCTTGGAGATGGGACCCAAATCTAACATGAAATTCACTGATGTTTCGTACACACTGTTGTGGTTCAGGCAGATGAAAATGAGGGGATTGGGATTCCAGAGCCTGGAGGGCCTTGGAAAGTGGTGGATGGTTCTTTCACTGAGGGAAATGAGGGGATTTTAGATCAAGATTCTGTCTGTGAAACAGGGATTGAAAGTGAAACTTTTCAGAATCCAGCAGAAAGGGAGATACAGTGAATGGTGGAGATGACTTTCCCCCTACAACAGTGGTTCTCAACCTGTGAGCTCCCAGATGTTTTGACCTTGAACTCCCAGAAATCCTAACATCTAGTAATCGGGCTGGGATTTCTGGGAGTTGTAGGCCAATACACCTGGGGACCCACAGGTTGAGAATCACTGCCCTACAAGTAGCTTAGCAACTCCTTATAAAGGCCTGGAAGGCTGAGATAGCTTGCCTGAGAGAGCAGGTGTGTTCAACAGGGGTATCAGGCTTGATCTTAGGGAGAAAAACATCAAGCTCAAGAAATCAAAAAGTTCCATGAAAAGGAAGCACAGAGAAAGTCCCTCAAGCCAGAAAGTCAAGTTCAAAGAAATGCCTTCATGTTTTGTGGCTCTTAAAGTAGAGAGCATCTTTTTGAGAATTCAGATCAGGCAACACTGCTAGATAGTGAAGATCTCAAGTCCTGTTTCCAGTTCATACTTTAGCCTAAGTTCTTGGGTTTTCTGGATTCATGTTTATGTTTTGATTCTTGTTTCCCTGGATTTATGCTCATGTTATGACTCTTGTTTTTCTGTACCTTTTGGATTATTGACTTTGAAGTGTTTTTTCTCCTCACCAGCTTGGTTTGGTTTTTTTACTTATCGATTACCTTTTCTGATGACCTGTTGGATTTTGCCTTTCGTATCCTTTTTGGTGATTTTCCCTTTTTATATATACTTTCTTCAATAAACTGCTTTATTACTGCTTTTGGAGTCCTGGTTGGTGCAAAGGGCAAGGTGAACTCTGGCTGAGGTGCAACACACACCATAAACACAAAGCTTGAAGATTATTTTATACAATATTTTAAGTAATTGTGTGCCTGAAACAAAATGTGTGCACACTGAACTATCAGAAAGCAAACCACCAGATTTTTGGAATGCTCAACATGGATGTCTGTTTCTACTTCTAGAAATCTGTTCAAGCGTAGGCTCTTCAAGGTGAGATGCAGAGATTAATTAAATTAATCTTGATTTGCTATAAAGAGCTCTGAATTAACCTAATAGCTAATAGAATCATATCGGAAGAGACCACATGGGCCATGTAGTCCAACCCCATGCTATGCAGGAAAAGCACAATCAAAGTATTCCAGACAGATGGCCATGCAGTCCCTCCATACCTCTTGCAAAGTCCATAAAGAAGCTGAACCATCTTGCTAAGAGCACTGTATTGAGCTGACAAAATGCAGCTCTGAGAGGTTTGACCTTCACTGTGAAACAATTGACAAGGAAACAGCAACAAAGCCAAGCAATGGTAAGTGGCAACCAAGTTTTAGGTTTAAATATCCAATGGTGCCTATGTCCAAATGCTGGCAGACCTCCATTCCCACGCGCAAGCATTCAAAGCCTGGAAGCTGTGCCCGTTGCTTACCTGTTCTGACGAGGCTCCTGCTGAAGGCTTCTCCACTCCGGGCCGGAGGGCTGGAGACTTTGGCCAGCTTGTTGGCGGAGACCTTGTACATGACTCCCCCAATACAGCGGAGACTCCTGTTCCTCCAGCGCTGCTGCTGCGGAGCCTGGGACTTACTCCCGGATGGAGAATGCCGAGAGGCGCCAAGGAGTGGAGATCTGCAAAGACAAAACAAGAGGACTGAGTAAGAAACTAGGAGCTGTTTTAACAAATTTGAGCAAACTTGTGAAAGGTTTTCATGGCCAGAATCACTGGGTTGCTGCGGGTTTTCTGGGCTGTATGGCTTTTTACAGAAGCATTCTCTCCTGATGTTTCTCCCACATCTATGGCAGGCATCCTCAGAGGTTGAGAGGTCTGTTGGAAACTATGCAAGTGGGGTCCATATATCTCTGGAATAATGTCCAGGGTGGGAGAAAGAACTCTTGCCTGCTTGAAGCAAGTGTGAATGTTGCAATTGGCCACCGTCATTAACATTGGATAGCCTTGCAGCTTCAAAGCCTGGCTGGTTGCTGCCTGGGGGAATCCAATTTCAACAGAAAGGAGGAAACTATGAAAATGAACAAAATCTGGCTACCATTATTAGAAAACTCTCAAATCAGGACAGTAAATAAAGAGCAACGCTCAAAAAGCAGGGGAATTCAAGACAATAATCAATCAGGGCCAGCTAACACCTCCCAACAAAGGATTCTCCCAGAGTTCTTTCTCCCATCCTGGACGTTATTCTACAGATATATAAACCCCACTTGCCTAGTTTCCAACAGACCTCACAACTCCTGAGGGTACCTGCCACAGATGTGGGTGAAACGTCAGGAGATAATGCTTTCTGGAACATGGCCATACAGCCCGGAAAACTCACAGCAACCCATTGAGCAAGCTTGTTAAAACAAACCAAGATTGCATCTACACTGTGGAATCAGAACAGCTTGGCACAACTTTATCTGCTATGACTGCACGCTATGGAATCATGGCGTTGCTTTCATAATTTCATTAGCTTTCCCTGCCAAAGTGTTGGTGCCTCGCCAAATGACAGCATTAAGTCAGGACAGATAAAGTGGTGGTGAGCTGCATTGATTCCACACTGTAGGTGTATCCTGAGTCAAATAATAGGTCCATCCAAATGGTGCCACTAACAATAACAGAAACCAAAGACTCTCTTGTGTTTCAAGCAGGGATTTGGTTGACCCTGCCTAGAAAATGTCAAAGGGCAGACCTGGGCCCTTCCGCATGAAGAACGTGTAGCACAGCACTAGGGGTTCATCCACACTGTAAAAAGAATGCAGTTTGATACCATTTTAACTGCCATGGATCAATGCTATGGAATGACGGGAGTTGTATAGTTTAGTGAGGCACCAGCACTATTGGCCAAAAGAGGCTAAAGACCTTGGAAAATTACACCTCCCAGGGTGGCATGGCATTAAGCCTTGGGTATAAAAGTGGTGCCAAACTGTGTTAGTCGGACAGTATAGATGCCCCCTTCCATAGGTGTTGCACTCCAGGACAGGAAAAGCCCTCTGACTTTAAACACCACACCGTTGGATGGAAAACAATCCTTTTACTGAAGATAATTAAAAAGCAGTAAGGTAAAAAACACTTTAAAGAAATAGGTAAATCCAATTAAGTAGGAAGATAAGCAGGAACAAAGTAGTCCAGAGTAATAGTCCAGCGAAGTCCATAAAAACAAAGTCAAAACCTTCTCAACCTCTGAGGATGCTTGCCATAGATGCAGGCGAAACGTCAGGAGAAATGCCTCTAGAACATGGCTCTATAGCCCGAAAAAACCCACAAGAACCTAAAGTCAAAACTTCCCAAATAAAATTCAAGAAATCAGGGAGGTACACCTAGGGAGGTACACGTGGAAGCTACAATGCATAGAGCTTTTTCGATCTATGCTCCAATTCTGTGGAACTCATTGCCACCATATATTAGAGCAATGTCGGAGTTGTTATCTTTTGTAAAGGCGCTCAAGACTTGGCTGTTTGGTTGTGCATTTAAGTAAAGTGATCAGATCTAATCTGCCAAATAGTCACTGTTGTATGTTTTTGTGTTGAATGTTTTTATATTGTGTAAATGCTATTTTAAATTGTAAGTCGCTCGGAGCACCTTGGTGGAGAGCAACTAATTAAGAAATAAAGTGAAGTGAAACATGAATCCAAGGCATGAATACATAAGCATGGATCAAAACCATGAAACAAAGGCACTTAAAACATGAAGTTTCCATGAACAAGGACGAGGTCTTGACTTGATTTCAAACGATGCTTCATCTGACTACATATCCTGCACTTGGGACTTTTATCTCCTTGTTAGCTATGTCTCTTATCTCAGAAATTGGTTTTGCATTGCACTGGGATTGTGGCGCAGCTGGCTGAGTGTCAGCTGCATTGAGATTACTCTGACCAAAAGGTCATGAGTTCGAAGCCAGCCCGGATTGGAGTGGGCTTCCAACCAATTGTGTGTAGCCTGTTGTCGACCTTTGCAACCCGAAAGACAGTTGCATCTGTCAAGTAGGAAAATTAGGTACCACCTTAAAGTGTGGGGAGGCTAAATTAGCTAATTTATGAGGCCATAAAAAAAAGACTCCAGCAAGCACTCCAGCAAAAAGCATGTGGGGAATGCGGAAGTACTTCATCAGTGTCGCAGGTGGACGATGAAAGCGACAGCTCCCCTGGCAGCCAGAAAAAGTTAAATAGTCTCTGTCTATGTCTGTATATGTTGTATATCAAATTGGCATTGAATGTTTGCCATATATGTGTACACTGTGATCCGCCCTGAGTCCCCTGCGGGGTGAGAAGGGTGGAATATAAAAGTTGTAAATAAATAAATAAATAAATAAATTAGCTGAGAAATTCTTATCTTTTTCTCTCAGAGCCTAGCAGACTGCCGAAGCCACTGTTCGACTCTCCTATTTTGACTGACCTCCTCCCGTCTATCTATTTGATCATTAATTTCTGCAGCTGGGCCAGGTGCCGAGTTGTTTTCATGTTCCCTATTATGGGAACTCTCTGGTAACAATTCAGAGAGCACACCATCATCCCCACACCCCTCAGGGACATTCTCATGGGAAAGCACACTTTGAACAGGGATCTCCTGGTCATTCTCTGCATCAATATCGCTGGCCAAACCATTGTCATCTTGAAACTCATCTTGCAACTCATTAACATCACTCCCCACATCCAAAGTACCCTGATCCTGAAACACAATCACAGGCTGAGCTCCTACAATAAGCATAAAGCAGGGGAACATGTTTTCACTTTTTCGCATGGAACTCTGGATTTCGGAGACCTCTCTGCCTGGCTCTGATTCTGCAACAATATCCACTCGCATTCGAATTCTGCGCATCCGCCATCCTGCCAACAGCCATTTCCACAAAATGAAATCTGTCAGAGTATCGGCTGTCTTAACTATGTCGCACTAATCCAAGCAGTAATTTGTTTATGCAAATGAGAGCTCTAATTTTGAATTAGTACAAAACTATGCTCATAATGCTATTAACGGAGAGTATATAAACCGCAGCATTGAGGGAAGAATGGGGGTAAATTAGGGGGCTGCTCCCCTATCAGCAGAAAGCAAAAGCCTGGGGAGCATTACCTTTCAATAAAGAACTCCAAAAATGTAATCATTACGTTTATTAGTGCTTAGCATGACAAGTTTATTCTAAGATGGCTGTTGCCATTGGCTACCAGCGATAATGTGTTGTGACTGGGACTTCCTACAGATGTGAAGGGAGAGAGACACTTGGAAATGTCACAGCCCTGAATGATGGAAACCAAGGGAAGAGGGAGCATGCAAGCTGCTGGTCTCTGTGATTCTTGAAGGATTTCACTTCTAGGGTTCTTCAAAAAAGAAAAGGCAGGCATTTATACTACTGTGCTAGCCAGGACCACAGTTATCGGAAAGGTCAGGACGAGGGCATTTGTCCCCAACAGAATTTTCTTCAGTCCACAAATTCCTAGCATTGCACCGATACTTAAAAACTAGAGTGTTTTGAAAGGCAGTTTAGGCATCTGATGAAAAGGGCTAAGCCAAGTGACCAAATTCAGCAGATATTAATAGTTTAGAGAGGAGATTCCATCTGAACATGAGGAAGAACTTCCTGACTGTGAGAGCCGTTCAGCAGTGGAACTCTCTGCCCCGGAGTGTGGTGGAGGCTCCTTCTTTGGAAGCTTTTAAACAGAGGCTGGATGGCCATCTGTCAGGGGTGATTTGAATGCAATATTCCTGCTTCTTGGCAGAATGGGGTTGGACTGGATGGCCCATGAGGTCTCTTCCAACTCTTTGATTCTATGATTTTAGGTGCAAATCATGATCAGCATACAGACTGAACATGCCTTAATATTCAATTTTGGAATACTGTCATACACCAGAGCAGAAACACCTCTGGCCTTAAACACCACACCAGCTTGGTAAAATCAGCAAGCAGTTTATTGTAGAATATATGTAGGCAAAGCAGTAAAAAATAGCAAAGCAAGAAAGGTCCAAAATCCAAAATAGTCCATAAGCTTCAAAGGGAAACAAGATCCAGGAGTACAAAGAAATCCAGGAAACAAGGCACTTGAAACCATTTATTTATTTATTTATTTATTTATTTACAACATTTGTATGCCGCTTTTCTCACCCCGAAGGGGACTCAAAGCGGTTTCCATATAGGTAATGGCAAAATTCAATGACAGCACAAACAATTACAATTATACAATTACAGTTAGGCATAAATCAAATTAAAATACATCCATAAACAGTAAAACAATAATTAAAACAGTAAAACAGTCTCATCCATCGAATCGCCGTTCCAGTCATTGTCTTTCCGAAATGCTGCATAGATTTGTTTCTACTGCCCGAAGGCCTGGTCCCAAAACCATGTTTTTAATTTTTTTCCTAAAAGCCAGGAGGAGGGAGCGGATCTTACCTCATTTGGGAATGTGTTCCATAGGCGAGGGGCCACTGCTGAGAAGGTCCTGTCTCTCGTCCCCGCCAGGCACATTTGCACAATTGGCGGGAGCGAGAACAGGGCCTCCCTGGATGGTCTTAGATTATGAGGTGGGACGTAGGGATAGATGCGTTTGGACAAGTAAGCTGGGCCAGAACCGTATAGAGCTTTATAGGTCAAAACCAGCACTTTGAATTGGGCTCGGAGATGGACCGGCAGCCAGTGGAGCTGGCATAA